CCGGCTACAACGAAAGTTGAGATCCACTGATGAGTGCGCAACAACTCCCTTGTCGAAACTGCTGGCCCCCGACAGATGGTGCTGCAGCGCCTGGCCCATGCTCTGCTGTTACGACCGACGCTCAGCCAGACAGACGACTACATACACTAGCGCTGCGAGCCTTCGCTAGAGTTTCATCTGGCCCGTTCTGCTCGGGCAGAGTTGGCCACCTCTCGGGCCCCAAAAGGGTAGGCTCACACACAAGTCGAGAGGTCGACGGGGTGGCCTACTGCAAAACTTACAGCGTGCGCCCCGGTATAGATCTTAGTGGTGGCAGCAGATATTTCAAACGAGAACTTCGAAGACCGATATGGAGGGGGCATCTATATGTGAGCAGCCTGTGCAGCGGCCCACTCCCGCAGTAACCCGGGTCGCTCCACTCGTCTTTCACACAAACAGAACAAAAGAAAAATATCAGTAGTAACAATAATAATAAAACGGCTGAAAATAATAACCCCAAAAAATAAACCAAACCACACGGCAAGGGGAGAAAACAAAAAGGGGACTGCTGGTACCGCCTTTGTCCTGTGCGTGACAACACCATGGGGGATGGCCTCGCCAGACCCTCAACCCCTTGGTTTCTCCTCGCCTGCTCCAATACTCCTACGCTGTCGCCGACTGATCTCAATCCCTGAATCTCCCTGTTTGAAAGTCCAACATTGTAACCACTTGTGCTAGGCCCAAGGTTGAGCTCGCGGCTCTCTAAAATATTCCAAGGCCGCACCCTCAGCCTACCACCTCAGACCACGGTCTCAAACCCTTGCCTACCGCGCGTTTGTCCCCTCGCATACTCTGACCATTACTCAATGCCGCATTGTCGTCGATGCCGTCCTCCGTACGAGCATACATGCCGCGCTGAAACGTATCAATCAAATCCTAAATTAATTCAAAAACAAAACATTGGTTGGAAGCCGCGCCGACTTCATAATCATCATCAAGAAGAGAAATCACGCGCTCCTCAAGCCTGGGCGCCCACACACTCTCTATTTCTAGTTGACCACTCAGATAGCGAGACCAGAACACAGCCGTGACTCGCTTGGTGAACTCAAACTTTAAACCAAACTTATTTCCTTTCACTTGCAAAAAACAGGGCGGATACCCTTGTGAGGGTATTCGCACCAACATCGCTACTCCTCCCCACTGCTCTTCGTCCTCCCACCTACCATCTCGTTCATAATCCCAGCCTCTGCAAACCCAACCTCGCTCATCATCCCCAGCCTCCGCAAACACAGGGAGGAACCCCTAGCCTACTTCCATTGTTGCCACTCTTGCCCTCCTCTTTTGCCAACTTTTCACGAGGTTTCACATCAGTTTGTCAAGGGGAAATTTGTTACTCTTTCCCTTCGCTCCTCCACCACTGTTGCATACTGTAACGTGCAGACCAGAACAAGAACCGACCTCTCAATACAAAGTACAAGATAACACAGCGGAAGAATTAGATACGAATGATCCGAACAATCAATATTGCAATGCAGCCCTGAACACACATCATCATCATCGTTATCTGGTGTGAAGGGGGTCTGGCGCTTCACACAAGAAGACTGCGCCAGCCCCAACCATACACAGACGAAGGAGGGGTTAGACGAAGAGGAGGGGAAGATGGGAATGTCGTCAACACCAAGTCTCGGCACAGGCCCAAATAGTCCCTCGTCGAAATGTCTGAATCCCAAATGTCCAGTCTGGATCCAATGTCGTCAAGTCTCAAGTCACAACTCTTTCTCTCTCTGTCGTAGTCTGAGAAGTCAGGTGGCGAGACGGTGAGAAGAGATGGTGGACTTAGAAGAGGAAGAAGAAGAACTCTCTCTCTTTCTGTGTCCAATACTAACCTGTGAAGTTGGTGCCTTGATGCAGGTACCACGAAGATGGAGCTGGAGCGATGGCGTCACAGGTAAGTGCCACTGGCCTCCGCCAGTATCTCTCCCACTCTGCGATCTACCACCTACCAGCGCCCAGCGCTGAAGACTACTCTATGGCTATGGGCGCCCAGCGCCGAAGGCTACAGCTAACGCTAACTACTGCCTAGCGCTGAAGACTACTGCAGCGCTCCTCCTGAGTGCTGCCCGAATCCTGAAGACTACTCGTGCCCACTGACTCTACCCTACCCGTGAAGTGTCTGGGAAGTCCTATGTACTACCACGGGTGCCTCCTGACTGCAGGCGAGCAGTCCAGGAGGCTGCTCTTGCCAGTGCCGATCGGAGGCAGGGGCTGCCGCTGCAGCTCCTGCTCAAAGTCGTGGGAACAKGCTATTTCTGGCCTGTTCCTGAAACCCTGTTTCCGTGCCTGAGTCTTAGGGGCGGTTGAAACAATGAGGGCCTGAGAATGGCCCTCCGTTTCAGGCTGGAAAAACTCTGGGTCTGAAATAGCCAGAAATAGGCTGAAACGGAGTAGGGCCTGCAGGCCCTCGTTTTTCAGCTTTCAGGCTGAAACGATTGGGGCCTGTAAGCCCTAAGTTTTAGGCTTTTAGGCTGAATGTCTGGGACGGGCCCTGCAGGGCCCGTGTGGCTATGCAGTATGCCACACCCCCCCCTCCTTGAAGAACCGAGCTTACCTGTGAGGGCGAAGCTGTCTGTTTGAGGGAGGGACCACAATCCGGGTGGGAGGGGCTGGTCGTGAAGCTTCCTGAGCTAACCTCCGCTTTTCGTAATGCGCGTAGAGCAGCGGTGCGGATGTTTTGAAATTTGCGCCTGATATCCACCGAGTGTCGTCGCGATCGCATGCTTTGAATGTGACTTTGTACTGCAGCGGCTTGCTGCCGTACTTGCGATCGGTGATGACGCGGTCAACTTCCTGATGACCATCCATAGAAGGAGGGTCCTGCGATCGTCGGCCCGGAAAGTCGTCGCTCTTGGCTGGCGTGTATGTTGCCAGCTTCGAGGCGTGGAAGACCGGATGGACAATCAGATGCTCTGGAATGTTGATCACAAATGAAGGGCCATCAGGCTCATCGCCCGTGGCTGCTGTCACAGACAAAGGTCCAAACCACTTGGGAAGCAGTTTGCGTGAAACATCCTGTTCTAGTGCAAACTCTTCCGCGGAGACCCAAACCAGATCACCGGCGCAGATGGGACATGGTACGCGACGCCTGTTGGCTTGCTGCTGCATGCGGACTTGAGCCTTTTGCATGTTTGCGCGAGATTGAGTCAGCAATTCCTTGTACTTCCGGACGGAAGCGGGAGAGCAGGCAGCGTCAATGTCGGCTGGTCAAGGGAGGAGAAGGTCAGCGAAAATCCGGCCTTTCCGTCCACCATGCTGTAACTCGAATGGAGTCACGCCGATCGCCGGATGTACCGAAGTGTTGTAGGCGAACTCGATGTCGGGGAGGCGGTCAACCCAATCTTTCTGGTCCGGACGGATGATTTGAGCGGTTTGATGTGCCCGCTCCGTCTGCCCGTCTGTCTGTGGATGCCGAGCCGAACTTGGTTTCATTATCGTGTCGGACTCCTGCATGAGCGCAGTCCAAAATGCTGACATGAAACGAGTGTCGCGGTCGCTGACTATGTCTTCTGGTACACCGTGGCCACAAATCCAACCATTGTGCAAGAGGCGTGCCAGCTCGGGAGCCGTGGAGTAGTACTTGCAAGGGAGAAAAAGCGCGTACTTACTCAATCGGTCCACAACCGTGAGGATGYCGTCGTGCCCGAGCCGGTCGCGRGGAAACGSACCGGTGACGTCCATGGCAATGGAGAGACCRGSTTCCCGTGGGATAGGCATCGGGTGTAACTCGCCATAGGGATTGCGGTTGCGGGGCTTGCTGCGTCGGCAAACTTCGCAAGAGTCGCAATACCGAGTGACGTCGGTAATGAGATCGGGCCATCGGAATCGTTGTCGAAGTCGTGCAATAGTGCGGTTGACTCCGAAATGGCCGGCGAGTCGCGAATCATGATACTCGCCGAGGAGGCGAGTCTGAAGACGGCGGTCACGTGGGACACATAATAAGTCCTTGCCTCTCGAGTGGAGRAGCAAGTACCCGCCGGCAATGCGATAGTGGCTGGTCGGCAGGTGATCCAAAGATAGCTGTGCATACAGCGTGGCGAAGTCCGGATCAGACTCGTATGCGAGAGTGCATCTGCTGTGCGATTTGAGAGGCCGGGAAGATGTTTCGGTGTGAAGTCAAATGCGAGAGTGCATCTGCTGTGCGATTTGAAGCTCCTCGTCGAATGCGAAGGCATGATGTGTCATAGCGCAAAGATCATGTCTTCGCGATAGTGCATCTGCTGTGCGATTTGAGAGGCCGGGAAAATGTTTCGGTGTGAAGTCAAACTGGTCGATGAAGTACATCCATCGTCCGATCGTGCTGCTCACCGTAACCCATGTAAACCCACGACGCCCAAGGAGGAAGTGCCGCCATCGCTTGAGAGCCATGACGAATGTGAGCAGCTCCTTCTTCCTTGCATCATCAAGCGAGTTGATGGGAG